CTCTTTGTAGAAAGCTCTTTCTTATACACATGAGTCTCCTTGGATTTGTTTCTCTAGTCTACTCAGACTAACATACTTATTTATCAAGTTGACATGAAATTATGTAACTACTACAGAATTTCATTGAGAAACCTTACATTAGTCACTCTACAGTTTTTACTTTGTGCCTTCCAGCTTCCATTTCTTCCCCAAACTCAGAGAGCATTTCAAAGGACCATGATTTGAGTACCCCAGGGAGCCAACCCTGCCATTTTCTATGTAGTGTTAATAGAGCATCACATTCTTTGGAGAAGGGTTACTTTCAAACTCACTGCCATCGAGTCAGTTCTGACTAATGGAGACCGTATGGGCATCATAGAACTGTCACTGTGGGTTTCCTACCCTGTAACTCTTTACGGGAGTAGGAAGCCTCATCTTTCTCTCATGGAGTAGCCGGTGGTTTCGAACTGCTGACCTGTCAGTTAGCAGCTCAATGTGTAACCACTAAGCCATCAGGGTTCCTTGAAGGAAGATTAGAGGGATGAGAGCCCTACTACAGAAGTGTATGGACACAGATTGAGGGTATATTGAAAAATATTAGCTTCAAAGTTTGATATTTTTGTTTGATAAATAAATGTTTCTATGATTTAGTCGCAATGTTTTTTAACTTACCTTAATTAAAAAAAAATAAGGCAGAAACCTCAAGGGTTCTTGTGACCTAGGTTCACAAGCCAAGCAGTATATTCTTTGACTTCTACTCTTTAAACCAGGTTAAAAACTTGTTTCATGGAGGGAAACACGGATGGGGACTAAAAACAAACAAACATTCCCACTGTCATCAAGTCAATTCTAACTCATAGCAACCCTGGGATAGAGTAGATCTTCTCCTTTGAGTTTCTGAGATTGTCAGTCTTTTCCACTCACTGTCATCGAGCCAATGCAGATTCATAGCTACTCTATAGGACAGGATGGAATTGCCCCTGTGGGTTTCTGGGACGATAAGTATTTATGGGAATAGAAAGTCTGTCTTTCTCCCAGAGAGGGACTGGTTGTTTTGAACTGCAGACCTCGTGGATCACAGCTCAATGTATGACCACTATGCCACCAGGGATTCCCCCTGTGAATCTTTATGGGAGTAGAAATGCATACTTTGAGTACCTCTGTATTAGATAACATCATCATGACCTAGCTTAATTTTTTACTGAGTGAAGATCAAGCAAGATGTGCTATTTTGAAACAAACAGACAATTCTCAACATATCTCCAAAAAGATACCTAGCAACTGAAGACAATCCCTGGACTCAGTTCCTTCCATGAGGAAGCCCTATGGGATACACACGCTTACTGATTCAGAGTCAAGAAAGATCGAAAAAGTCAACTGGTCAAATTCAATTTTCAATATTGAAAAACCCATCAAGTGCTTCATGATAATTGATTTACATAGACAAGGATTTAGAGACAACCTAATTTCCAGAAAGGCAATAATATAATGGAAATACTATGGCATTCAAATTAGAAACCAGGATCACAGTTTGGGTTCTATCATTTACTGGCTATAATATACTCCTCTTTGGGAATATTTGTTCCTTACCTATAAAATAAAAGTAAATTTAAAATCCACCTTCTGTAAGTGGTGTGATAGTAAGACCATAAAATATGTTTGAAACACCTTTAAAAGTTATTATTCTACTATTCCAACTATTTGAGCACATTCTTGACTAAAATTGAGTCAGTGGAGCCTTGTTTCCTAGGAATTGAAATACATTGACCCCTTATTCTTTAATTCCTATAGTTAATCAGGTAACAGCAACAAATGATTGATTCATCCTTTAACTTACCTTTTAGATCTTCTTTTCTTTGCAACGCCTGACACCGTGGTCCTCAATGTCAGCATTTCGGGTCTCGCTACATGCAGTCTTCCTCCGGTGCAGTGCCCCTCATCATCCCTACGTGGAGGAAGCTGAGGCCTCAGTACATCTCCAAATCTCACAGCTTGGGGAATGGAACTGGAATGCAAATACAAGTCCATTTAATTGCATAGGCCTTGATTTTTACCATCTTTTTACTGATCTTAACTCTACTTTCAAAGAACCTAAATAAGGTAATAGCTTAATCAAATTAATCTAGGCTCTTCCAGGAAATGTTTCAAGTTCTCATTACCTCTATTGATAAAAGGCTGTCTCTTTATTGCCCTAAAAAACTAAACTCACTGCTATCAAGGAAATGCTGACTCATGGTGACCCCCTGTGAGGGTCTAAGACTGTAACTGCTTAAGGCAGTAGAAAGCCCAGTCTTCCTCTTGTAACCCTCATTAATTCACACATTCTTGCATTCTTGTATTCATTCAACAAACACATCTTGTATGCAAACAAAGATTATATATAGAGCATGGCCACTTGCCACTTGTACAGAATTCTTTCAATTTAATTTAATTTTCATAACACTAGCTGTTCAGATGAGGTTTTCATAAAGTTGAAGTCTGAGTTCTACTGTTCCATGTCTTGCATATTGCTTTTTTTTTAGAGCAGTGAGAAATGGGCTCCAGAAAGGATAAAAGGCATATTGAAATGGTATTGCATTAATGTGATAGTATTTTTCCCTTTATTATATAAATATGAAGGCTTTCTTTTGTTTATTTATATAAGTGCAAAATCTCTGAGACAGGACTTTTGAACAATATACATTTCTCTCAAATATACATGGGACATCTTCTTAGATCATATCTCAAGATGTTATGAAACATTTTTTCTACCTTATATACAATAGAAGCTGGATTTTGAATCAGGCTAGTTGACTGTAGAGCTCAGGATTATAATGATTAAATTATTTGGGCCTATATTCTCCATACCATCTATTCTCTTTTTTTCCCCACATACAATATATCTCCTCCACTTAATATTGCCAGTCTTTCAGGAACTCCTCATTACTGAATAAAATCCAATATATTTGTACAAGCTGAACATCCTTGTGGTGAAGAGAAATTTCTTAATATGATTCTTCTATCCATGGCACTGTAAACCTCTCCAAATATTGGGTGGGGCTATGCAAACAGGCCACTCTTTTTCGGTCATTTCGTCAAACTGTGGTGGCTCGTGTATTGCTATGATGCTGCAAACTGGGTCACTGGCATTTGAAATAACCAGTAGGGTCACCCAAATTGAGCAGATCTCAGCAGACTACCAACAAAGCAAAGGCTATCCTCTTCAGAGGGATTAGCCATGGAAAACTGTATGTATAACAGTAGAACTGATCACAAATCCTGCAGAACATTGTCAGATATAGTGCCAGAAGCTGAGCCCCTCAGATCAGAAGGTACTCAAAATATGACCGAGGAAGAGCTGCCTTACAAAATAGAGTCAACCATAATAAAGTGGAGGAAGTAAAGCCTTCAGCACCTTTGTTTGCTGATGGAGGATGGCGCCAAATGAGAAGAAAAGGCTGCGAGCATCTGTTAATAATTGGAATTTGGAATGTACACAGTATGATTCTAGGAAAGTAATCAGAAATGAAATCAAACACATAAAAATCGATATTAGTGAGCTGAAATGCACTGGTTGGTATTGGCCATTTTGAACCAGGGAAACAGATGGCTCACTATGCCAAGAATGAAAAATTCAAGAGGAATGGGATCACATTCATTGTCCAAAAGGCATTTCAAGACCTTTGTGGAAGTACAATGCTGTCCGTGATAGGATAATATCTATTTTCATAGAAGGAAATCCTGTCAATGCAACTATTATTCAAACTTATGCACCAACCACTAAAGCCAGCGATAACGAAAATGAAGAACTTTATCAACATCTTCATTCTGAAATTGATCAAACATATATTCAAGATGCATTGATAAGTACTGGCAATTGGAATGTGAAAGTTATAAAGTATATTGAAAGTACCATGGACTGCCAAAAGAACAAACAAAATCTGTCTTACAAGGAACACAACTAGAGTACTCCTTAAAAGCAAGGATGGAGAGATTTTTTTCTTATGTATTTTGGGCATGTTATCAGGAGAGACCAGACCCTGAAAAGAACACCATGCATGATAAAGTAGAGGGACAACGAAATAGAGAAATACCCCTGCCAAGATGGATTAACCCAGTGGCTGGAACATTGGGTTAATCTCAAAAGAAAAATTGTGAGGATGGCTTTCTGTTGTACTTAAGGTTGAGCTGACAGGATGGCATCTAACAGCAACAATAACAACCACTGTAATCACAACTTCAACAACAACATAAAAATGGGCTGTGTGAAACACGAATCGAGGGGATTGGTCAATTTTGCCATTCTCCTGGTTATAAAAATGAGGTATCCCAGACGATGGAAGAGCGAATTCCAAAGATCATCAAAGAAGAAGAGCTACTACTGGAGCAAGTTGGAGATCCCTATCGAAAGCGGCAATGGCAGAGACCACAGGCCACGCATGCCAAGGCCAGAGGACCAGCCTTGGAGACCACGAAACAGTGCTGCACTGGTGAGTCTGGGAGGCAAAGTATCAGGTGAGCTTCCTGGTCCATGATGGCAAAGGCCAAGGGACCAACTGGTTGAGAGCCTGTGGACCAGAGAGAGAGTCTTGGGTGACAGCTTATGAGAGCTATCGCCATTGACCAAAAACTGTATCCTGGATGTGTTTTGATCCTGGCTTGTGGTAAGCTGAGGCTTGGTGTCAGAATAGAGTAATGGAGCTTAGAGGCATGTTTGACATCTGCCTTGGCTGCAGGCTGGTGTGGAGTTGGATTCTCTTGTGAAGTCAGAAGAGGTCTTTGGATTCAGTACATCATTCTGCATCTACACCATTAATTTGTCATTGTATCTTGATGAATAGATAAAACATATTTTCCTTCAAACAGTCGCCAAACTACTGTGAGTCAATAGGTGATATTTTCTATTCCTTTCCTCCTATTCCTTAGCAGGGTACTCTGGGATCCTCAGTAGACACACAATGCAATTGTGAGTGATTGAAGGCAGAGAACCCACATGTTTTCTGTCTCACCTGACTTTCTAATTCTATTCTCCCTTTTTTTTTTTCTGTGTTCACCTTTACAGATGATATGCCATGAAGAAGACACAGCACACCGGAAATACGTTAAAGGGAAATGATACTATGGCATGGTGTCTGACTGTGTAGATTATGAATAAAAAAACACAGTATTCGACCATGCGTTCTAATTCTATTCTCATTGCTCTGGGTCACTATTTTAATTTTGCTCAAGTATCAATTTAAAAAAAAATCATTTTATTGGGGACTCGTACAATTCTCATCACAATCCCTACATACATCCATTGTGTCAAGCACATATGCACATTTGTTACCCTCATCATTATCAAAATATTTCCCTCCCACTCTAGCCCCTAATATCAGTTGCTCATTTTCCCCCTCCCTCCCCACTCTGCCCTCCCTCATGAACCCTTCATAGTTCATAAATTATTATAGTTTTGTCATAAGTTACCCTGTCCGCGTTTCCCTCTACCCTCTTCTCTGCTGTCCATCCCCCAGGGAGGAGGCAATACTTAGATTCTTGTAATTGGTCCCCCCTTTCTACTCCACATTCCCTTCACCCTCCAAGCATCACCCTTCTCACCACTGGTCCTGAAGGAGTCATCTACACTGGATTTCCTGTGTTTCCAGTTGCTATCTGTACCAATGTACATCCTCCGGTCCAGCCAGATTTGTAAGGTAGAATTGGGATCATGATAGTGGGGGGGGGAGGAAATTAAAGAACTAGAGGAAAGTTATATGTTTCATCGTTGCTATCTTGCACCCTGATTGGCTCGTCTCCTCCTCACAACCCCTCAGTAAGGGGGTGTTCAGTTGCCTACCGATGGGCTTTAAGTCTCCACTCTGCACTCACCCACCTTTACAATGATATGATTTTTTTGTTCTTGGATGCTTGATACCTGATCCCTTCGACAGCTCGTGGCCACACATGCTGTTGTGCTTCTTCTATGTGGGCTTTGTTGCTTCTGAGCCAGTTGACCGTTTGTTTATCTTCAAGCCTTTAAGACCCCAGAAGCTATATCTTTTGATAGCCTGGCACCATCAGCTTTCTTCACCACCTTTGCTTATGCACACGTTTGTCTTCAGTGATCATATAGGGAAGGTGGGCACCCACTGATCTGATTTTCAGTTCTTTGATGTCTGATACCTGGTCCCTTCTGCACCTCGTGGTCAGACAAGCTTAACGAAGTCCTTACAGATTCTTCCCATTGCAGTCTATGTTTCTGTGATTTCATAGCACTTATTATCATAGCACTCATTTAATTATGTGATTACAATTTTATTACAAAATGCTCTATAAATTGGGGAGAATGCCAATTAATATTGAGCATTCCTAAAAATATATTTCTTTGGATATTGCTTAAATTTCCTTATGAAATACGTGTAAGTTGATTGTAGGTGCAAGAAAAGATGTATAAGATATATAAGACAAGTCAATTAGTCAAATGCTGCATGCACAAAGTTAAAAAGTAGTCGGCTGGATAAAATACTATACCAAAGAAGCTTAATTTTATCAGATTCCTAGACTTATCAGATTCCTAATTTATCAGATTCTTTCCTAGACATGAGAAGGGTTGGTGGTTTCAATGGCATTATTTGTGAGATATAATTTTCCATATTAACTGTGTTTTCTTGATCTTTTCTCTGGTGTACTAGTCCTGCTGCTATCTTTTGAGCTTTCCCTCATTTTGTGTTTTTTTTGGAAGTAAATATTGAAGAATTAAACTCTGAAAGCTACAATGCTTGTGTGCACACTAAAAACATAGACAGATGGATATCCCAATCCATATCACTTACAAATGTAAGAAAACTACTATTGGTAAAAACAAGATATTACTATAACAGATGCCCATCTTTCTCCAACAGCTCTGACACCAGCTGTTCAGATGAGGTTTTCATAAAGCATAAAGTGTGTCCTCTGTCCTGTACATTCTTTTTATATTTCAAAACAGCAAAATATGGGCTCCAGAAAGAATATAAAACACACTATAAGAATGGTGTTGCATTCATTTGGTGTTTTCCCCTCCTCTATTTCATGTAAGTGCTAAGTCATCTAAGGAGGATTTGCGAGCAAAATTTGAGTGGGTACCAAATATTTCCTTTTTATGTATGAAATATGCAGAACCACTTCCCTTGCTCCTTGCTTGATGGTAATTCAATTTTATTGGGTTAGCAAATATTATTTCCTCTTCAAACTTCAATATCAAGAAGACTTTTCAATTTAGAAATAAATACCCTGCATCTACCAAGGGCTTTACCTTGATTAACCTTCCTAAGTAACTAGGGAGGTTGCTTGCTCTGGATGTGTTTGCATGTAAACCTCAAGCTGGTTTTGTTGACCTAAGAGGCCAGGTTAACAAGGTCCTAGCACCAAGGGAGAAGAACGGAGAAGCTATACTAATTGTGGCCATGAAGAGCATGTAAGTGTTTTCATTAAAAATCAATACTCATGTAGATTTTCAATTCACCATCTGGTCTTCTTTGCACTCATATTTGAAATGAAGGAAGTGAATTTAGTTACCATATTTATCCATCAATTTATCATATATTTATAAGCTATCTTTTTACCACTCCCAGAAAGAAGAGTGGGATGATTTCTATATTACCTCCTCTATAATTTTTAGCTATTTTAATTCCAAATGATAAAACACTGCTAAAAATAGTTTTCAGTATATTATAAAGGAAGAATCAACTTGACCATTCTCTTTCAAAGTATTTACAAATTCCAGGACTAGGGGCCCATTTGGAAGCTTTTGGTTGATATTGAACTAAATATAATATTGAACTAAATACGATATTAACCAGTAGCTTCCAAATGGTTCCTTGATACCTAGGGTAAGCATTAGACTGCTAACCTCAAGGTTAGTGGTTCTAAACCAATGGCTAATCCATGGGGAAAAGATGAGGCTATTTGTCTCAAGGACGGATGGATCACTTCTACTTTGTCCTATAGGGTCACTAGAATTGTTCTGGTGGCAGTGGATTAGCTACAAAATTGTTTGCTCCTGGAAGACAATACATTTCCTCCTTAGTTATCAGATATTAGTATGTAGTTTATAGAGTTTAGCAAATATGCTAGGACAATAATCACCTCTTGATAATACATAGTATATGTAATAATAGACTCTTTTAACAGTTGGTTTATTTATAAACACTTTACTGAGCATGTACAATCTCATACAGAAATGACATTTACCACTGTTTTAATTTATATTTGTTGTATTACTGAATCATCATTCCTATTTGAGACATCTTTACTCTCCTATGTGTTAAAAGAGGTGAATCTTAATGAATTAGAGGCTGAGGAGACTTGAGACATTTATAGAAGTGTAATTAGTCCAATAATTATTAGAAATATATGACAGACACCCTTCCAGATGCTGGGAATTCATCAATGAAATATAAGAAGTGTATCTGGTAAGTAAAACAATGACTGCTTACCTGTGTGATTAATTGATTACTCAAAGGAATTCAGCTTTGTAGGGTATAACATTTAATAAGACTAATGATAACATTGCAAAGGATGAGAATCCAAGAACACTTAATTGTACTCATGTGGATCCTGTACATCAAACTTAGGAAAATATTTTTATGTCAAGGACCAATTGGATATTTATAACATAACTCATGGGCCCTACAAAACTGTTACTTAAAGATTAGCCTGCTGTCTTTAGACAAATGTTAAATTAATTTACCTCAAATGTGGTGGCTAGAACAGCTTCTCTTCGGTGAGGTGTGATGTGAGCTGGTCCGGATGACTTTCCTGGCCTTACACGCCCCACAGACCACATGTTCCCCACTCCTGCTGCACGTCGACCAAGAGGCAGTTGTTGAAACAAAGCAAGAGGATACTGCAAAAGTTTAAAATCAAGAAAAAGTGTGGGCCAGTGTTATATCTTTCATCTTATTTTTTCAATCTGTATACTTATTGAAGAAATCTGCAAGCCGAGGGGTGACATCAGGATTGGAGGAAGACTCATTAACAACTTGTGATATATGGAAGCTATAACCTTCCTTGCTGGAAGTAAGAGGGTTTGAAACTCTTACTGATTGTCCATAAGGACAGCCACCACATGGGTTACCTCTCACCATAAAGGCAGCAAAGCAGCCTACAAATGGATGAGTGAGCAACACCATCCTAAACAGAGAAATGGATGAAGTCAAAGATTTAATTTCCCTTAAATGCACAATCAATACCCATGGAAACAGCAGTCAAGAAATAAAATGAAATATGGCACTAGGTAAGTCTGCTTTAAAAGACCTTTTAAGCTTAATAAAAAATCAAGGAGGTCACTTTGGTGCTTAAAGTGTGCCTGACACCCCAAATGGCATTTTCAATCACATCATATGCACGTGGAAACTGGACAATGAATAAGACAGACAGAAGAGGAAGTTTTACATATGAATAATCGCATTGGCTAAGAACACTGAATAGACCACAAACTTTGAGAACAATGAGCAAATCTGTTTTGGGAGAAGAACAACCAGAATGCTCCTTAGAAGGAATGACAGTGAGACCTTGTCTCTCTTTCTTTGGACATATTTACAGGAGGAACCACTGGTTGGAGAGGGACACTTTGCTTGAGAAAGTAGTGGGCTAGTGTACAGGCAGAAGAACCCTCAATGAGACAGGGAGACACAATAACTTCAAGAGTGGACTCAAAGAGCAAAGGTTGTAAGGATAGTGTAGGACCAGGTGACATTTAGTTCTCTTCTGCCTAAGGTGGTTATGATGCGGGGCCAACTGAACAGCGTCTAATAACAATAACGATATGCCCTTTACATGCAATATCTTGTCTAATAGTTATAATGAATTCATTTTACTCATTTACAAATAAGGAAACTGATGCTTGTAGAAATTAAATAGTCATCCAATTTAGCAAGTGATGAATATATACTTTGAAACCAGATCTTTCTGCTTGACTTTACTGTCTATTTTCTTCCTATAGAAATGCGTACAAGATATTTGTGGCATTAACCCCTGCTATTTGCTGTTTAGTAAGAGTCAGGAAAATGCTGTGTTTATAAATTAGAACCCACTGATAATTGCTATCACTTAGCTCATCTCATTGCCCTGTGATCTCACTCTTTTCTCTTTGTGCCTCAGTACTTGTGTTCACCGGATTGATTGCACTGGGAATTTCCAACTTAAAAAAAAAAATT